TACACCCTTGCTCTCTTCGTGTCCAATGATGCTGGCTATCCCTCTGGTTTTGTCACCCACCTCTGTGGCCTCACCCAGTTCTTCCCCACACATACCCACTGAGTTTGCCCCACTGCTGCACTTTACGTTCCATTTCCTGACCTTACCCTCTTCTCACTTCCTCTACTCTTTGCACCGCTGTTCTCCTTTTACTTTCTCTACAGGTTTTAAGTCCCCAGATCCTTCTACTTCATTCAAATTTCTTGTTCTTTCCTGGCCTCTTCTTTCTCCACCAACCTGAGAGCCCATGTTTGATCACAAAGCAATTCCTGCTCCAACACCAATGATTAAATTGCATCTCTATGCTTCTAACAACTCCACTCCCCAAACTTTATCTCCATTTTCCCAGAAAAGGCTGCATGGGGCTCTATGAAGTAATACCAGCCACTGTTAATAACTGCTGAAAGCGAATGATTAAAGTATTCTCTTTTGCTTTCATACCTTTGAAAATTCTCATAAGACACTGATTTCCAATCACCACAGCGAGAGCTACATGACTGTTAGGTTTAGATCTGTCCCCCAGAAGCCTCACATATCTGGAGGGTGAAGGGATCATGAAAGAGTCACTCTTGTTTGCGACTCAGACGGTGGATGAGCTCAGAGCTGATTCGCCGTTAGGTGACATGGCCTGGCTACAGGCAGGTCTGTGGAGTTGACCCAGAATGCCTGTCTCCCTGGGCGGCTCCTCCCTTCTCTTCTGGCTCTTTCAAAACTTTCCACCACCAGCCCTCCCGCCACGCCCTTCCAGCCTTGGAGCCAGCAAGTATTAGCTGAATCCTTTAAAAATCAAGCACCAAAACAAAAACCCCTCTCCCTTGGGCTGTCGGTCTTGAATTTTTTTCTCCAAGAGACAAGAAAGTGACTCAGACAGTAACAGAGCAATTAAAAAGTTAATTGTACCATCTAAGTGTTGAAAACATGACTGCTCACTATAAAATTCTTCCATTTTTCATATTTGAAAATTTGTATAAAATCTTACACAAATAAAAAGAACTACTGCGCTCATACTGCCACCATGTACATGCTTTATTCCTAGGTCTAGGCATCTGAAACTACCAGAGAAAAATAATCAATGTAAACTCAAGTCACTAAGTCAAATGAGCCCTGAGTAACGCTTCCCAGTCCTACTTGTCCTGGGAGGTGTCTCACTTTCCTTAATGACTGTGTGCAATCCTTCACCCTCTCTCCATAAGAGACACTGTCTTACAGAGTAAGCTTCACCAAGACACTGAGGACAACAGTCAGGGCCTCGCCCTAGGTCCTACAAGTCAGGTGTTCAGCCACCTGCTTCCTTGCCTTTCTTTCTTTTTTTCTTTTAGGGAGGGTCTACAGGGTGTTCAGAGTCTCACTACTAGATCAGACTCGTAGTGATCCACCTATTTACAGCCTCCCAAGAGCTGGGATTGCAGGCGCGCCCCACCGGGGGCGGGGCCGGCACAGCAGGCCCAGGGATCGAACCCCAGGCCCCTGCACCTGCTTGCAGGCACTTTAGTCTGCTGAGCTATTTGGCTGGGCCCTCTCACCTTTCTTGAGCCTGTCCCTGCCACACAGCATTCCCTCCACCCTCTCACTTCTGGACCTTGCTCTTAGGCTTCACCTCTCCTCTGTCCAGTCTTCTTCTCTTCAGTTTGTAAATTCAAGGCTTGTATCTTTCCATACTAAATATCCCTCTTTTCACTCCATGCTCCCTCTAGCTTGATGTGTTTTTGGGGGGATTGGAGGGGGCACTGGGGATCAGACAAGGACCTTGTACTTGTCAGGTAGGCACTTATGCCACTGAGCTATTGCACTGGCCCTAGCTTGATGTTTTCTCATGTGTTAGAAAGAATAAGTAGCTCTCCAAGTTCAAATACTGCACCTGCTCATTTCTCTCTACCCCTCCAGTCCCTGGCAGAGTCCCCTGAGCACTCCATGTACGACAATGCAATCACTCCCCCCAGGCCGAACATTCTGCTCACTGGTCTCCATGGTGTTATTCACAGGTTCTTCGTAAAACCTCTTTACAGGCCCTTAAATTTTGGAAATTCAAGTGCTCCTTTTAGTCTCTTTCTTTGTGCATGCTACACATTTTTTCTGGGTGATTTCTCTCATTTTATAATCTCAACTGGTATAAATGCTGCGAAGTCCCCCAATCTTTCTCTCAAGCCTAGCCCTTCCCTCTGATGCAGACTGGGGCTTCCTAGTTAGGATGTTCTCACAAGTTCTGATGTGTCCCTAAGCAGCCCCTCTACCTTCCTAGAACTGCTTCCCTCTCCAGCCTCTCTATCTGGCACCAACTTCCACTCTCTTACTTTCCAACCCCAAATCCAATCAAACTGTAGATTTTCTTCCAATCGTTATTTAAATTAATTCTCTTTTCCCATGACCACTTCAGAGCTTTTTCTTCTAACAGGAACCACTCCCGCAAAAATTCCTAGAGCCCCCACTCACCTCCCACAGCTTCATGCTCCTGTCAGCAGAGCACCATGTTAGCAACACAGATATGCCAAGGCCCCCGGGAGAGTTCCACCTAGCCTTCACAGCGAACACCAAGTGCCTAACAAGAGGAAAACAGGTCTCCACCACTGGGCCACCCCAGCCTTCCTTCCAAGGACTTGCGGCTAGTGCAGGTGGCACTGCTTCTAGATTATATGTCTTATTCGTGCTGTCTCCTATAGCCTGAGGTACCTTCGCTAGTTAATCATGCCATTTGCTATAATTAACTCCTGCTCCTCCTCAGAGGTTCAGCTTAGGCAAAACTCTGCAAAGTCACTGGGGTTCCGATTGCCTAAACTGTTTCTATGTAACCTCATGCTCCGCCTCAATAACTGCACTCTTCATACATCATTTTAAAAAGCTTACACTTATGCCAGCAAGGACGGGACGGTGGCCTGTTCATACTGCGCTCTCCCAGAACACTGTGCTGCAGGTGGTCACTGCTTGATGGTTTTTTTTAATAAATGAATTTGCATATTGAAAATGTTCTTCCTATGCATTAACATTGCTATATTCTAGTACTTGATGATGATTTATAACAAACAAGTGATGTCACCTACTGTCTATTTGCCAAACCATTCAGGTGGCTTTAAAAATCATAATTTGTTGTATGCACCAGAGATCTATTAGTGAATTTTATATTGCATGAGATTTCCTACTTAATTTTAACATGTAGAATTATTTTTAATTTCACAGCAATTAACAATCAACTCAACAAATTAGGAACTGACAATCTTTTGTAAAAGAAAAAATGCTTCTTTTCAATATGTGCTTCAAAAATAATAACTACTAGTCAACACTTATTAATTCTGAAGAAGTTAGAAAACAGAACTCAGAAATTATATAATAAAGTCCCACAAACACAACCAGTATATCTGGGTATATTTTCCATGCAAACATTTTTCTATGAAAAATGAGATAAGAATACTATATTTCACTCCTCACCTGACAAATACATCATGGCATATTTCTATAACATTAAACATTTTTTAATATTTAAAAGGCCACATAGTAAACTATTATATGATTGTGTAAACATTTATTTAAGCTATTCCCAACCCTATTTTAAGTTGATCTCTATTATTTATTACAAACCATGCTGTGCAATAAATATTCTATATCTTAGTATAGTGGCATTAATATCTTTCAAAATTGTGTATTCATAGTATGTTAATTATACTTCATTATTAAAACTAGGAGAAAGAAAACATGCTGTAGTGGATATATTTATATGGCAATCTTTTGCGAATGAAGGCCATTTCCTAAAGATAAATTTCTTGAACTGAGACTGCTGGATCAAATAATATATCTTTAAAATATCTGACACTTGTTCACCCAGAACCATTTACGAAGTTACTACACAGGCCAAGACAACATTGCACAACTGCTCTGCAGAACCACAGTCTCGTAGCAGATTCTTTCTTTTTTTGAGACCGGGTCTTGCTCTGTAATTTAGGTTGGCCTTGCACTCACTATGTAGCCCAGGCTGGCCTCATATTCATGGGAGTCCTCCTTCCTCAGCTTCCCAAGTGCTGGGATTATAGGTGTGTACCAACACTCCCAGAACCATAGCAGATTTCTTAATGTGTGTAAACACTATGTTTCAAATTTTTTTTAAATATCTTTTCTTGGGGTTGGCAAGATAGCGCAGCGGACTAAAGTGCCTGCTTAGGCAAGCTTAGGTAAGCGCAGGGACCATGGTTCCATCCCCAGCATCATATGCCATGCCAGCCCCATTCCCAGGGTTGGCTGAGCGAGCCACCAAGTCTGGTTGTGGTGGCACGCCCCTGTAATCCCAGCGCTGGGGAGGCTGAAATCAGGAGGATCACCACGAGTCCGAGCTGCATAGTGAGACCTAGTAACAACCGAATACATTAAAAAAAAAAAATCTTTTCTTTCATATGGTTTTAAAAAATGGTAGCATTATTTCATTTTGTACTTTAAAAAATTATTGGTGATGATAAAATACTTTTCCTGATGCTGGACCGTTCACATGTCCTGTCTCTGCTTCTTTCTTTCTTTTTTTTTTTTTTTTGGCGGAACCGGGGATTGAACTCAGGCCCTTGCTCTTGCCAGGGAAGCGCTTATTCCACTGAGCATCTCCCCAGCCCCTCTGCTTCTTTCTTGTTGTCTCATTTGCTGTTCCCCTCCCTCAGTAAAAACTGTTCCTAATCAGAAAACCTTTGCTGAGTATTATTAAGGTTACTAACTGGATCTCATACTTTTCCAGCATTTTCCCTAAATTTTCCATCTGTCTTTTAAAACTTTGGCCTTAGAATTTTTAATACAACATTTACATCTTTATGCATTGTGGTAAAATTGGTCAGTTTTCATCTTTACGTTTCTTGTCTTGGGCATCATATTTAAAACACTTTTCCAAACCCTAAAACAAGAAGAATATGCAATACATCTGTTCGCTGCTAACCACTTTTCAGAATCTAGGCTCTAATCATGCAGTTACCCGCAATACTGCTCTGCAGTTTTACCTTAGTGAGCAATCCCTTCACTGTTGGTTTGCCCTCAGACTGCAGGAAAAATGGGTTAGCAGCCTGCACTCGAAGAACATTCTGCAACACTTTAATCCATTCTTCCAATATATTGGGAGAATCTGCAGTCAGGTAGTACGTGTGTTTTTCAGTGGTCAGCTAGAATAGGAGAAGAGAGGTAAATGTGAAGGGTTAGGATTATTACCTTTATTTCTCCAATCCTCAAACATCAGTACTTAACATGTAAGAAAACATGCTAAACCTTAATTCCTAAGTTCTAAGCAAATGATCCTAAAATAATTTAGAATACATTAACTAGTTTCTGAAAATTATAATTCAATTTTTGTTGAAACTTTTTTTAACTTTTAATTTTTTATATATTATATTTTGGGGTCATGCTTTTATATCTTTACTCATCATGTTTTCATTTTCTCCACTAAATGTGCCACAAGGTTACTGGTTGAAATGAGCAGCAGAATGACAAGACTATGATAGTACAATTTTAGCAAACAAAAAAATGAACATAAGCAAAATGGGAAGACCATGTATACAGCACAAGCAATTATTCTTGCAAGTAACAAATGATAACATATTATACACTCACAACTTTTCAGTGTGTGTGTATTGAACACACTGCCATTTTTCCAAATATTTTAGAAACTTACAAATGATTCTTAACAGCAATGCTCTAAGACAAAGCCTTCCCTGATTCATCCTTCTAAATATTTGAGAATTTCTTAGTCTCCTGGGAACATTGATAATGTACCTTTCTGGGAAGTGGTATCTTCCACCCTCCAAAGGAGCAAGATAAGAAAATATAAGTTATTGAAAACATTTCAGAGATAAAAGTATTAGAACTGAAATCACACACACACACACACACACACACACACACACGACACTATCTCAAAAGCTTTATTTTCAATTTAACAGGTTTTAGGCAAGATGGGTCTGCTGTACAGATCAAACGGTCAATGGCTAGTTCTCTGGCATGATTGGGCAGGATGGCCTTGCTACTCACTAACAGCTTTCGCATTAAGTTCAGGGATTAAAAAATACAAACACTCCTGAGTGTGCTATTAGTAACACATTCTATTACTATCTTACTTGGGATTCATTTATCAGATAAATCTTCCCTAAAATAGGTTGACATTTTGAGACCTAAAAATACCTACAAGATAGAATATGTGGGGAATGGGGAGATAGCTCAGCAGTCTAAGTGTCTGCATGGTACATACAAGGACCTGAGTCCGATCCCTGGTACTACATGCTGTGCCAGCCACAGAAACCTGGAGTGGTGGCACATGCCTGTAATCTCAGTGTTGGGGAGGCTGAAATAGGAGGATCACTACAAGTCTGAGCTATGTAGTAAGACCCCGTACCAAATAAATAAAGATCTTTTAAAAATTTTTAAAAAAGATTGAATATGTGGGAAAGAAGGTCATAAAGGAAGAAAAAGCAAAGAAAGTTACAGTGAAAGTTACCCAATATAACTTAGCTTAAATTAAGTTTTAACTAAAAACCCATGGAGGGTTATACACCTTTAAACATCAAACTCACCCCACAATGGATCAAGAAAACACTGAATCATCCAATTTCTTTTCCAGTAGCTTCAGTAACTGATGACTGAATTTTGCATAAGTAAATAGATAAATAGGCAAACACATGTACCTGAACTGTTTGTTTGTTATCTCCTCTTAAAACACTGCAGGACGTACTGAGTTCAATGTGGCCCTGGGGTTTTCTAATTACATCGCTCTGCATGAAAGGAAGAAAGCCAAATGTAAAAAGAGCAACTGTAGTAGTAATACATGTTTTATATTGTGAACCCATTTATGCCAACGACTGTAACTTTTCTGAATTTTTGCATGAAATTCATATGTGTTACCTAGAAAAATTCAAGGAACAAGTATTTGAAGAAAAAATGTAACTATGTTGTTAGGGGCATTCGAAAAACAGAACACTAGTCATTGAAGAATTAACTTCATTACAGGGAAGTAAATCATTTAGGAGTTTTATAGTTTGAGGAATTCTTTTTTCAGAAGTGGGGATTGAACTCAGGCCCTTGCGCTTGCCAGGGAAGCACTTATTCCACTGAGCCATCTCCCCAGCCCGGGAATTCTGTTCTAAATAGCAAATACGTTCCACTCACTGGAGATTTGTAGTAAAGTAATTCGCCTCCTTTCAGAACAAACCACCTCCGCTTCCAAGTCTTGGCCTTCCCACTCATTTTTAGTAGATAGCCAGATTTTTCCAGTTGTTCCTAATGAAAAAAAAAATTAACACTCAGTTTAGAGGATCAAACTAATTGATTCATCAATTTTTTAAAAGTCTAACTCATTGTTTACATTTTTTCCATTATCACTGGAGGATGAGCAGGTTTTGGGGAGCTTGTGCTCGGGCTGCGAGCACCCCGCGTCTGTGGGGTAGGCATCCGGAGGGATAGCATAGTCACTCTCAGAAGCCACCGAGGCCAAAGACACACCTAGAAATACAAAGAAATGAATCAAGTTGGCTTTTAACCCTGGAGTGGTCCAATGACTGCTAGTTCAATGGAATGCAAAGATTGCTAATTCATAAACCCTCCTAGACTAGATTTATTCTCATTCCTTGGGCCATGAAGATAGCTTTTATGGCAGGAAACAGAACTAAGGGATATAGAGTGTCATGTAGATATCCAAGTCAAAGGAACACAAACAATAGTCCAGCTTCATTACAACCATAGCGATTTTTACATATATAAATATATGCAATAGTCTATTAATGCAGCTTTTATTAAGCATTGAAATAGGTATTTACATAGCCATGCTTAAACTTAAAGATTTTCATATTCACATTTTAAACCACTTAATTTCTGTAATTACTTTTAAAGTAACCACATTAAAAACAATGATTTCTATGTTTTATGTAAGCCAAACTACTAATTTAGATTTTTAAAAATCTTTCATAAAATAGACGCACTAAGTCTTAAATACATAAGAAGACTATTTCATTTTCCAATAGCTATAAAATAAAATTCAGTGGAATATTTTCACAATAATTCAACTGCCTTAATAAGAAAATTACTTGTGAGTTGTATAATACATTTAGAGGCTGTCTATAATTAGATATTTTGAAATAATAAAATTAAGGTTCTAAAGGTATTATTTATTTTAGTATCCAGCAATTATTTAATGTTTGTTAGCATATAAAAGATAAATTAGGATAATGACACTCTTGTAACACTATCCTATTTAACTCAAAGTAACAATTGTGGTATCTTTATTGCTCATGGAATAACAGAAATTAGGGGTCTCAGAGCTTATCCTGGCAAATGCCCTCACTGTCTAAGGAGACCAAGGCCCAGAGATAAGGATTTGTGCAAAGCAAGCAGAACAGCTACACAGAGGAATGCTGGAAGGCCCATCTCAGCTCCCAGCCCTGGGCAGGTGTGCCAGGCACTGTCCGAGGTGCTACGACAGAGAGGACATACACATTTTAGGCCCCACAGAACATAGATTCTAGTCCCTGTGAGTGGCCTGAGGTGACCTGTGAAAATGGTTTGCTACTTACTCTCAACCCAGAAAACCCCACAAAAGCATGCAAATCAAGAGGCTCAAATCTTCACATTCACTTAAGAACACGTGTGAAACTGCACAGGCCATCAAGGTATGCATATCCAAAAGGCCACCAAGTATCTGAAGGATGTCACATTAAAGAAGCAATGTGTGCCAAACTGGCATTACAATGGTGGAGTTGGTAGGTATGCCCTGGCCAAATAGTGGGCTGGACGGAAGGTCGGTGGCCCAAAAAGAGTGCTGAATTTGTGCTGCACATGCTTAACAATGCAGAGAGTAATGCTGAGCTTAAGGGTTTAGATGTAGATTCTCTGGTTATTGAACATATCCAGTGAACAAAGCACCCAAGATGCACCGCTGTACTTATAGAGCTCATGGCTGGATTAATCCACACATGAGCTCCCCCTGCTATTATGAGATGATCCTTACTGAAAAGGAACAAACTGTTCCGAAACCAGAAAAGGAAGTTGCACAGAAGAAAAGGATATCCCAGAGAGCCGGTGAGAAAGCTCAGGCAAGTGCAGGAGCCAGGGTTCGATCCCTGGCCCCCCATCCCGCGCTGGCCCTGCCCCTTCCCTCCCCGGGTGTGCTGGCGCATGCCAGTGCAAAGGTCCTGCAGTAAAAGCATGCCTAGTGTGCCTTGAACAACAAAAGAGCCAGGAGACCAGAGCCAGTAAGAGAAGAGTAAGGAACAGATGTAGCCCAAGACTAAATAAATAAATAAATACGTACATAAATACATAAATAAATAAAAGGCCTTATGGCTACTATGGGGAGCCACTGCAGTACAATACTGAGTGAAATGTGACATTTCCTAATTCTGCTTATTGGAGGACAAAATGAAAGCAAGACAACTGATAGAGGCCCAAAATACTAAACGAAGGAAGGCTTAGCAGCTGCAGTGAACGCTGAGGGCAGTCCTTGGAGCACAGGTTGAAAACAAGTACACACACAGTCGCACCAAAGCCTTTCCTGATACAAGAGTCATTCACCTGGAATGGCGGGATTCACCTGGACCTGGGCGCTCAGAACCGGGGTGCTGCCTCAAGTAAAGTCCTGGTTGGTTCCCAGTTTAGCATCAGATTAACCAACACATTTCAGATGTATTTTCTGACATACAATACAAACATTTAACTGAAACAATTTTTTTTTTTTTTTTTTTTTTTTTTTGGTGGAACCAGGGATTGAACTCAGGCCCTTGCGCTTGCCAGGCAAGGGCTTATTACTGAACCATCTCCTCGGCCCAAAATGAAACAAATCTATTCTCCAAGTTACCTAAAATTCCACTAGGCAAATATAAAGAAAGAAAGCCTCAACTAGGCCACGGATCTCCCTTTATTCCTACAGTAAAGTGATTTCTCTCCTACAGACAAGGCAATAAAATAGACTTTTACGAATATGTGGCTTGTCTGGTATTGTAAAGAAAAAAAAAGTCAGTATCTCAGGCCCAGTCTTATGTACTTTTCACCATGGTTTTAAGCAAGTTCTTCTAGATGCTTTTTAAAAACCCGGCGCGGAGCTCAAGCTCCCAGCAAACGCGGGGCGCGGCGGCGCGGGGCTCACCTCGCTTCAGGGCCCGGGGGCTGCCCGGCCCGCTGCGGCTGCGCGGCTCTGACTCCGACACCCGCGAGCTGCACGAGGAGCCGTCCTCATCCTCGGAGGAGGAGTCGTGCTGGAAGGGGCTGCTACTTATCTGCGTCGCCTTCTAAAGAAAAGCAGAGCAGCCTCTCTGTATACACCTCTAAAGTTACTTCTCTCTTCAGATGTCCAAGGTTTTACAGAAAGAGGTCATGGAATGGGATTTTTTGGAAGGAATACAAGAACATATTTTACTATTGTGAAGTCGTGTTGTCAAACCCTAAATTTTAATTAGCAAGGCAGTGCTCAATTAGAAAAGATTCCTGAAAACATAAAGACTGTGAGTATCTGACAAGACTCATCTTAATTAGGTATTGCTGGCAAGGAAGAGAGCCCTGGCACGGACACAAAGACCTTTATAAATTTGGACTTTCCATTACATCATTAATAATGTTTCTTCCTTTCAACAATTAACAGCCTGGGGCGGGGAGTAAGCAGGAATCACATGGCAATGGAAACAGCCCTTTACTGCTCTGAGAAGAGTATCTTCTCCAGAGTTTTCCAATTATTCTGTTTTATTATATGTTAGCACAGTCTTCTGAAACTCTCTACAAAAGGAGAGTCTGGGTCAGACGTTACGAATGGAATCTGCAGCGTGAAGAAACAGCTTTCCTGATGCCCGGTGAGGACAACCACACGTTTAACATCAAAGATGAGTTACCCCTTTTAATGTTGTGTACACGGGGGTTGTCAAGTTCTTGTATATTAGAGATGTATAAAGTCCGGACGTGGTATAGGAAAGCATGGCAGCAGAACCTGGAACAGAAAACAACGTTAAAAAAAGAAGAAGAAAAAAAAAAAAAGCATACCCTCCTCACCAGGACATGGCCTGCTTCTTATGACTATGAATTATGTGATTGCGAATTAAAGAGAAATTGGACTAATGTATGTGATTACTAATTATACAGTCTGCTTTATGAGCTACAGCACTTCCGGGCTTACATAAGGACTGCTTTTTTAGATGGTTCATTATTTTCATGTGCTGTTTTCCCAGCAAGGTTGTAAAGGCCTTGTGAGCAAGAACCACAGATTTGATCTCCTCAGCTTATCCAGGCACTTCGCTGAGGCTGCAAAGAAGTAAAAATAGCTATGGAGGGGCTCAGTGAGCACTACCTATGTAGATGCTAACTACTCAGAGCTTTGTCCTGATGTGTTCTGAAGACACCACCACGAATCTTAATCAAGTGAATCTGAAGTTGAAAGGTTAGAGTATCATTTCCTGAATGGTGAGAACAGATGGTAGCTGAAAAGGAAGAGAATACCAAGTTCCTCTGAGAAATGGACGAGTGATAGGATAGGGACCCTAAGAAAAGCCCTTAATTCCAGAGTTTTGTGTTGTGAGGTTTCATTTCTTATGGGTTTATACTGTTTCTGTATGGTTTTTGGTAGAGAGGGATAACAAAAGTTGAAGCTATTATTTTTTTAAACAGCAACTATGTCATTCTTTTCTCTACATTTTCTTCTTTCCGATACAAATTTAGTGAGGCACTGTCTGTATCAGAGTTGAATGGATTTATGCCTCTATACTAAGATTAATTTCAATTTTAAAACATAAATCAGTAACCTTAGCAAGAAGTTTTTCAAAAATTATATAATTAGATTTATTTCAATGAATTTAGGCATTTGGGAAGTACTTGGCTAATGAAACAGCAATACAAAAATCATATACATTTTAAACTTTTTCATTGTGGTAAAAAATAATGCATAGAAGAGAATTTATCATCTTAAACATTTTAAAGTGTACAATTCAGTAGTGTTAAGTATATTCCCACTGTTATAGAGCAAGTCTCTAGAGATTTTTCCCCTTGAAAATTTGAAATTCCCCCTCCCCTTAATCCCTCCCCCAGCCCAGGTAGCTAACCACTCTGCATCCCATAAATCTGACTGCCTCGGCTACCTCAGTAAGGTGGGATCCCACAGTATTTGCCTTTTTGCACTATATTATGTTTGTTTTATACTATCACGTAGTATAACGTCCTCAGGTCTAACCTATGTCATAGCATGTAAAAGCACTTACTTTTGTTAACATTCTCCATATTGAAGGCCTCAGACATTCGAATGCCTGATTTGGCTACAGCATAAATTCTGCCTTCCTGATGTAAAAGAGAGATTTGAAGAGGGGATTTAAAGCAATTATTACTTTCAATACTTACATTTTTATTTATTCATATAAATGAAATGCTGTACTATTCTTAGAGTACAGCATTATTATAAATAAAACACACCCTTGAGAATAATATGGCAGACATTTTCCCATCCATTAGTTATTCTATTATTTATCTTTGTCCCTGACTTTTGAATTCTTTTGAAGATAAAAAGAACAAGTACAAGAAAGCTTATTCATCGAGCCTGATTCATCTTTAGTTCTCTACCATTTTAGAAAGTGGTTAAAGAAAAACTTTGAATGGCTTCACAAGAAGTCAGAAACTATTCACAATCACTGAATACAAATAAATGCCTTTTTAATATTTTACTATTCTGGAACTTGGTTAAGGAAAAACAACTTAAAGTCAGAAATCAAGACTGGCACTAAATGCTCTCCCCTTCTTATTTCAATACATACCTCAATCAAGCAGAAAAGCAGAGTCAGATAATACATGATTTGGAAAACTGGATTGAAATTTGTAATATTGTTTTGTTCTAAAGTAGGTTATTTTGTTTTCTCTTTTTCTGAGAGAGGTCTCTGAAATGGGTACTGGAAAGGGTATTACCCTGCGCTTGCCCCACGAGAAAAGGGACTCCCAGTGGTTCCACAGATCATGGTGTCCTGCCTTTTGTAATGGGTCTAACTGGGTGCAGTTGGCTGCACCAGGGCATTGTAGACCACCAGTGCCATCCTCCTTCAGGCTAGGCAGTGACCCAAGAGGTAAATGGCATAAGATCTGTGATGCTCAGCAGCACTTCAGATTGAAGAGTAGCTGACTGAATTAGATGCAGCATCCCTCAGCAGGTAGTTGTGAGATGCGTACACAGAGACTAACGGCAGAGCGGGCTGATGACAAAGACTAACGAAGTAAGGCAGTAAGAGGGTGCGGCAGAGTGGGAGAGAGCAGGTGCGCAGAAAACAGGTAGAAAGAGGATCGCATAAATGAGGAGGCAGCTGATCCTCTGGAGCAGGGACTGCCGGTCAGAGGTCCTGGAGCGTCACAGGTTGCCTCACTACAGCCACTGTTGTATCCAACTCAAGGAGAGGCTATGTCTTAAATATTTGTTAGCTGAGGTAACTAGAATACATCTTTTCCTTGGAACCTGAAACTAACTCACAAACACAGAAATAAGACCTCAGATTTGGCCAGTGTCCTGGAAGGCTTCTGAAAAAGAATGCTACCTTTTCAGGTCTGAATTGCTTCAGAGGAAGAGAAGCAAGAAAGGCAAAAAAGTAGTAAAACAGTTTGCCAAATAAAACAAACTTGAAAGCCTAACTTAAATCTCTGAAAATCTCAACATAAAAAAATGCAACCTTTCAACTTCTTATTGCCTGAAGCGTAACATAATTGAAATTCCAAAGATTCACATGCAATTAATTTTCATCTTTTTTTTTAAGTCATCGAGAATTTAGTAATAAACTACAGGCAGTTTTGTGTAGTTATTGAAATGAAATCTCTTGAAAGTGAATAAAAGCAGATAAATCTTAAGGCCTGAATTTAAACTAGAAAAACATGGCTTCTCTAATTTGCTTAAAATTAGAGCATTTACTAAATCTTAAAATAATAATAAAAGCCTAAAAATCCTGCAATCCAGCTGTTTCTCTGGAGGCCAGTGGTTAAAGTATGACACTATGTAAAAAAAAACTTGAACCCACAAGCCAGACAAATTCACTTCATTTCAAATATTGGAAGAATTTTTTTTTTAATCTAGCAATATAGACACTCCTAAGAAGTATCATCTATTTGATGGGCTAATTATTGTGGTGATGGTCAGTGTCTCCACAGAAGTTTTTCATCTATTCTAGACCTGTAGGAAGACACTTGGGTTCAAGCAATGGGTTTATAAGCACAGGAGGAAGAAAACAAAATTCCCTTAATGTAACCAAGAAAACAACTAAGTTAAAAAACAACAACAATAAGACCAATAAGAATCAGGGATCCTGGTTTAGAATCATATGAAAGTATCATGGTTCGAAGGAGCCCAACTTCGCATCCACTGAACTGTTTTCTTTGTGGAGGGACAGAATTAAGCGCTCCTGATCTTTCTTCATATTCACTTTGTCTTCCATAGCTGAAAGCCCAGAACTTTCTTCTCTCCTGTCCTACAGGAAACAAGCACCTGTCCCTGTCTCTAGGTTCTAAGGTTAGAGGAGTGCTGTAATGACTGATACACTGTGTCAATTTGAGAAGTTTAGAAGTTTAATCAAGTGACTCAGCAAGCTCACTCACTTTGCAAACATCCTGCAAGAGAAGAGCACTGAGATGGTGTGAAGGCTACACCTGCCCTACCGGGTGGTAGCCTGCTTACAACATAAGGGAGGAAGAGGCCTGCTCCCACCACCCGTCTTTCCTTCTGCTCTTGTTGCTTTTGCTGTCTTCTGCCACCTTGAGCTGTTGCCCTGCACCATGCCACCCTGCCACCCTGCCTTGGAGCCGGCTGATTACACAGGGAAACCTCCACAAATGTGAGCTAAATAAACTTTTTCTTTCTTAATTTTCAGGGTCAGGTATTTTGTCTCAGCAACAAGAGAAAAGTAACTAACATGGGCACCATCTCTCTGAAGGAAGCCTGCGATGATCCAGGGCACTGGGGCCTGGGGGGCTAATTCTAGCAAATTCCAAAGTTCAGCATTAGAAAGTCTGTATGCTCACCGATTTTCTAAAACTCATTTTTTATCAGTAAATAATGTAATACTTCGATTTCCATCTGTTTTCTCAATTGACTTACAACTCAGTGAGAGAAAAGCAGGAAAAATTGTAGCCAGGAATCTGGAAATTCTTGGAACAAAACTGGATTTGAAAAGAAACTGGGAAAAGAAATAAAACCTAAAAGTGAATGTTGAAAAGAACCACCACAGATGTGTCCCACACAGGAAAATAGTTACCCAAGAGGGAAACCGGTGCAGAGGAGGAGTGGGGGGCTTGCTGCCCCCTGTCTTCTTGGCTGTGTCACAGGTTTCCTGGTCATCTGAATTTGGAGACTCTACAAAGTCATAGGAGAATAATCCATCCTCACAACTTGTGTCCATATTCTCTAAAATTTCACTGTCACAGTCAACCAGATCTAGATCTGTTTCCTGAGGTCTCAGTGGTCGTATCATGCTTATAGCATTTCTGTTGGTCCCAAACATCCTGTCAGAACTTAACTGTGGCTGACTTAAGTGCCTTTTGGCGAGGGCTACACTTATACTGAAAACGTTAGGAACCCTTAACTTTGCGGGGGGCAGGTGTGATGCAGGCACTGCTGACACTCCTTTTCCAGGGAGCAAGCTGGGATGCTTTGGAGCTAAAGCAGGAGTCAGAATTGGGCTTGGAGTGTTGGCCTCACTAGATGAGGACGAATAATCCAACCTCTGGGATTGAAATCTTTTACTGAGTTCATCCGAGGAACTGTCTTGCTCCTTCTTCTTTGACTCCGAACTTCCCTTTGCAAGAAGACTGTTCTGAGCTTTCCACTGGGCCTCCTGTTGCCAAGAATACAGCTTCTTGTGTTCTGGCCTCTTTAGGCCAAAAGTCTCTTCCTCAAATACGGAGCTGCTGTCATCAGATGCCGTGAGGTACGCTTCGCTCCCCAGCCTGCTGCCCTGGACGCCCTCCTCGGAGGTGTGGCTGGACAGGGTGGACGTGCACCTGGACTTCCGTTTCTCTTTGCTCCCATCTTCCTCATCAGAACTCCAGTCACTCGCAGGAGCCACAGAATTCTGGGAAGTGCCATCATCTGTCGCACAGCTGATTCTCATTTTCCGGTTTTGTTCTGAGCTGCTAGGGGCCTGATGCAGCGTTCTCAGGCCTCTGTCGCTTTCCTGAACTTGGTTATCAGCAGACTTCTCTGGAATTTCCACTTTCAGAAAAGGACACATCATTTTAACTTGTTGCCTTTAATAATAAAATGCATTTATTTTCTAAATACACTGTAAAACTTCCAATGTTATGTAAGATTATACATTTACCTTATGTTGTATGTCTTTTTAAAACACAAGTTTGAACACTAAGTTTTACATAAAACAGAGTCCTAACATTTCTACATAATTGCATCAAATGAAAATGCTTTTTACAAAGAAATGTGTTGGGGGAAAAATGGATAAGAAAAGAAGCAAAATGTAAAATAGGGCAACTTCGACTATGAAAAAAAAAGCAGCCGAGTCCAAGTCCTGCAATCTCAGCACTGGCAAGCCTGAGGCAGGGAGACTGCTGTGAGTTCCAGGGCAGCCTGGGCTACATACTGAGTTCAAAGGCTGTCTTAGCAGCCACCAAAAAACCAAACCAAACCAAACCACTATTAGTACAATTTCAAAAACACAGCAACACCCCTTTCCACTAAATTTCAAAATTATGATAAAACAGAAGCATAGTAAGCACAATGCTATAGCTTAAGAAACAATCTTTGTGCTGAAGCCTCAACATATATGCTTTGCAAAACCATAAAGAAAACAGAAACAGAAAAAAGTTTTCCTTGCTCTACTTTTTGTTCACCACAGCTACAAAATGCATTTTTATAACACTTTTAAAGTGTTTTTAGGGCTGGCGAGATGGCTCAGTGGTCTAAAGCACCTACTTGGAACAAGCTTGGGAAAACACAGGGACCACGGTTCAATCCCCCAGCACCACATGCCAGCCAGCCGCGCCCCCTGGTGGGCTGAGCTGGTCACACACACACACACACACACACACACTAAATAAATAAATGTTAAAAAAAATTTAAAAAAAAAAAGTGCTTTTAGATATGGCTTATTTTTATTTATCACAGAGTAGAATGCAGTACTGTTTTCATAAACAGTGAATTAAACTTTATTTATTTATTTATGAATTTTGAGCAGGGTCTACAGTGTGTACAGGGTCTCACTACATAGATCAGACTCAGAGTGCAGCCTCCCAAGTGCTGGGATTGCAGGCATGTGCCATCATGCCCAGTCTCAATCGCCAACTCAGTGTGCCCCAGGCATGGGGCCGGCACGGAACGCCGTGGCTCAAACCCTAAGCAGGTGATTTAGTCCACTGAGCTATCTGGCCGGCCCTAGTGAATTAAACTTTAAAGAATAGAAACTAAATTTTGAAAGCAAGTTTGATCTTTACAATTGAGGAATGAGCAACTGAACGAGCATTCTAAAATTTCATTATCAGGCAGCTTGTTAAATTTTCAAGTGAGCCAAAGCTTTGCGTAAGCAACTTCAGCTGTGTTCACCTATCAGTGGGAGAAAATGAAAATGACTTCTTGAAAAAGAAAATAAAATCCAAGCCAAGGCAAGGAAGTGAGCAGCCAGGCAACTTTCTGATGCGCTTCACGGAATATCACAACCAGCCAGAAAGACAACTTTTAGAGCTACCATTTTTCCTTCTTTGCAGGAAGAAAACTGGGACTGCAAATAGATAAGTGCTAAACTCAAGTCTCTCTAAAATATTTGGGAAAAGCCAATAAAAAGGATTATACCACAAATGTAAAAACCAGCAGCTTAAAACAAACAAAAAACCCCAGCAGCTTCACAACAAAGCAAAATTTAGAGGCTGTGCAATTGAAAGAAAAAAAAATTGAAAAAGAGTAGAAATCTGCACATAGGACAAGGCAAATATTATTATTATTATTATTATTTTTTTTTTTTTGGTGGCAGAACTGGGATATTGAACTCAGGCCCTTGTGCTTGTCTGGGAAGCATTTATTCCACTGAGCCATCTCCCCAGCCCCTAGACAAGGCAAATATTAAAACAAATATTCACCTCTTTAAAGCAACATAGGGCAATTTAAAACTTACTAAGTTATCCCCTGGTGTTAATTTTTTTTTAAAAGTTTGCTAGACAATAATTAATTTCATGTTTATTGTTAGGTTATTTTAAAATTGTCATGAATAAAAATGCATAGTTCTAATCTGAAACTCAGGTAAAATAATTGTAGAGGGCTGGAGAGATGGCTCAGAGGAGAAGCGCTTCCCTGGCAAGTGCAAGGGCCTGAGTTCAATTCCCGGTTCTGCCAAAAAAAAAAAAAAAATTGTAGAATTGAAAAACTAAAAATTTCAACTATTCTACCTGCTGCAGGAAAAGTATTAAGGGGGCCGGTCAAATAGCTCAGCGGATTAAAATGCCTGCTTAGGCAGACTCAGTGGCCAGGGTTCAATACCCAGTATGCTGCGCCAGCCCCACCTCCAGGGCGTGCTGAGACCGCTGAGACAGCGAATGAAACTGGGCCTGTAATCCCAGTGCTCGGGAGGCTAAAAACAGGAGGATCACTACAAGTCTGATCTGTGTAGTGAGACCCTGTAGACCCTTACCAAAATTTAAAAAAAGTAACATAATAATAAAAAGAAAAGTATTAAGATTGGGAAATTAGTTAAGGTGGGGAAATGCTCAGAAGACACAAAGTAAGTGACATATAAGATATGATACAAGGTTTAAAATAACTAGATATTGCCTTTTTTATATGTTCTCATAAAGCACCCAGTTTTCAGGAAAAAAATTAAGCTATATTTGGATTAATCTTAGTGAACGATTTTTCCTTTTTTTTTTTTTTTTTTTTTTTTTTTAAAGAAATCAAAGTAAATTGATATGGTCCTTAAGTACCTTCTGTGTGTTTTCCTTCCGTGAATTCAGGTTTTTTAGATGATAGCTTGCTTATTTCCTCACATTTTACTATCTGAGGAGGACTCCTTGCTCGTGATAGAAAGCACCCAAATGTCAAACTGCTCAGACGTTGCCCTTCCAAAAGTTTTGGTGTAGAGACAGCAGACAACTTCTTCCCTTGAACTTCTGAAAAGTCATTAATCAAAATGAATATTTCATTGTTTTATAGCCATTTGTTAAACGTAGAATCAAAGCATATAATAATGTACACAAATCACTATACCAGAAAAATGTCTGTTAAATTGATACACAGTTGCACGGAAGTCTCAGTGTTGGGAATTGTAGGTCTACACTTAAAATATTTTACATACTTGGAATGCTAATATATTTGAAATTAGGGAGAAAAGCATTTAATCCCTTTGAGTAGTAGTTCTCAAGCAAAAGCAAAAATACACAACTAAAAGCACGTTATAAATAACTAGAGTTACAGCTTCTAAAAAAGTGAGGTATTGGTAGATATCATCTAAGCACAGAATAAAATTAGTGTAGAAACACTACTAACTGTGAGGAAAAGGGCCTGTGGGACTGGTTACTAGAACAACCAAAGGAAGCCTAGGTTACCACTGGGATGTCATCTGACCACTCTAATGACTTCTGCTTATCCTAGTTTTCAGCAATGAGAAAAAGGCAGGTGGAGGCTGCTGTTTTTGGTGTGCACAACATAGAGAACCTTAATCACCTCTTTAGGAAAAGTGCTGGGGCTTAGATCGCCATTGGAGTGATTAGGCCAGGGTCTAATCATTCGTTTAATTTATCTCTAGGAGTCTGAACACAACTTCTTATTAAGTCAAAAGGATGGCGAGTCCAGTAACAAAAGTTTCCAAGGAAATTCTTAACTCTGGGGGAGCACCAAAGGGTTAAGTAGAAACTGACAACTGAGTAGAACAATTTCTACAGTAGTACAGACTAAATATATTCAGAAAAAAAGATGACATATATACTCTTATGATTTCTTATTCTTTACTAAACAGTACAGTAGTATAAATATATACATTGTATCAAGTATTACAAGGAATCTAGAGATGATTTAAAGTTATAAGCAGATGTATTTAAGGTTGTATGCCATTTTATCTAACAGACTTGATAGTGGTGTTTTTTTCTTTTTTTTTTTGAGACAAGGTCTTGCTATGTAATCTAGGCTGGCCACAAATTCATGGCAATCCCCCTGCCTCAGTCTCCTGAGTGCCTGGATTACAAGCGTGTACCACAATGCCCAGTTTTCTAAGGGATTGCATTCTGATATGCTGGTAACCACCAGAGCTCTGGCACAAATTTCCTCATCAATACTGAGAAATAACTGCAAATGCGTATTTTTTAAGTACTATATTATTAGTAGTATTAAAGTACTACACTATTCCTGTCCAAACCTAACCTAGGATCAATGCCATTTAGTCTATAAAATCTAAGAGACTGCCAATGAAGACCAGAATTGCAAGACAAGAATAATAGGGAATATAAAAATCTTTTTTAAAGAGTGGACATAGTATCTTCAATCTTTTTCAAAGAGGATTACTATCACAAAGTCCTGAAACTTTAAATATAGGACCCTAAATCAACTATGCAGCATCTATTTCCCATCATATATGTGAAGGAAGTGATAGCAAGTGAGTATTAATTAATATGCAATAGGCAAACTATCCCATAATGAACAATTACATATACTCCTGCATGAAATCAAGAAAGCACTCTAGCCACAAGTATACTAATGCAAAAAATTGTTCTGGAGATAAACAGTCATGAAATAGTATAGTACAAAAGTCGACTTCAAAGCCCACGCTATTCCAACCACACCAGTATTTTTCCAATGCATTTGGTAAGACCCCAGGGCTTGGTGGAAGCGTTTCAAAGGAATAAAAGGTAAGTGCCAAAGTCTGGACCTGTCACCCAACACTGGTTTTGTACCTGCCTTATTTATTCAGATTCTTTAGAAAAAAATATAAAAGGTTCTATTGCTAAATGAAATCTGAATGTCTCTTTCCTGGGGCATGTGTCCCATAAGCATGAGTAACACATACATCCTCCTGGATTTAGCTCTTCATCCAGATACATTTTTTTTTTTTTTCAGTACCGGGCATTGAACTCAGGACCTTATGCTCACAAGGCTGGTGCTTATGCCACTGAGCTATATCCTTGGCCCCCTGGATTTAGCTCTTCAATTCAGTGTACACTTGAGTGGTGATCAGTAGAACAGGTACCAAAAGAACATCGCTATCCAAGAGTAGTTTTACCACTCATCCTTAGGCTTTGAAGTTACATAGGAAGTAACCTCAATGCATTGGAAAATGCAAAGAATTTATTCATCTCATAAAATTATGCTCAGAATACTCAGGCTGTAAGAATCTCAATTACTGTAAAAATACATGATAGAAAGCAGAAGTTGAAAATCAGTACCTGATTTTTAAAAAAGCTGATATACCTAAAGCTAAAACATGCAAACTATTATCTCTTTTCAAGTTATTCACTGACATCCAGCTGTGCTGCTCAATATGGCCACTACCAACATAGGACTATGTAACTTTCAATCCATTCAAGTTCAGTGAAATTTAAAACATAGTTCTTCATTTGTACTAATTATACTTCAAATGTTTAACAGTCACATATGACTAGTGACCATCACTTTGGATAGTACAAGTATAGAGTATTTCCTTCAGTGAAGTAAGTTCCATTAAAAAGTGTTAATCTATAATGAAGACTAAATGTTCAGCTTAACAATATTAGCAATTTTGATGTTTTGAAAATTGACCTTAGAGCTTATAAAATATTCTTGTGAATTATTATTATTATTATTTTTTTTGTGGAACCAGGGATTGAACTCAGACCCTTATGCTTGCCAGAGAAGCGCTTATTCCACTGAGCCATCTCCCCGGCCCCTCTTGTGAATTATTTTAAGAATGACAAACATTGCTTTGGATTTAAGATTTGTAATTAATCAAAAATTATATATATAAAAAAAAAACTATGGCTTGAAGAAGGCTGGCCAAATAGCTCAGTGGATTAAAGTGCCTGCTTAGGAAGACACAGGGACTAGGGTTTGCACCCTGGCCTGCCGTGCTGGCCCTGCCCCTGGGGCGTACTGAGATGGCGAATGGGACTGGGCACAGTGGTACACGCCTATAATCCCAGCGCTTGGGGGGGCTGAAAAACAGGAGGATCACTACAAGTCCAATTTGTACAGGGAGACCCTGTACACCTTGTACTAAATACATAAAAATAATTTTTTAAAAAAAACTAAGGAAGTATCTCTTTTTTTTTTAATTTTTAAATTTCTTTTTGAGACAGGGTCTCACTGTGCAATTCAGGCTGACCCCCTCCCTATCGTAACCCAGACTCACAGAAACCCTTCTGAATTCTGGGAATATAGGCATGTGCCACCACACCCAGCAGTGTCTGTTTAAATAGGTCAAGCTTTCTCTTGATGTTCTTCAGTTATTCATCAATTATCAGCGGACTCTCCCACTTGTCAGGATTCAACTCCTTATCCAGAAAACCCAAATGGGGAAAAGATTAGAACACTGGTGATAAAACATTTGACAACTACCAGCTCAGTCATAACAACACATAAAAGTGCGCCACACTTGCCCTCAGAATGCCAAGTTCAGTGACGTGGAGTGTGTGAAGCCAAGAAGCTTTCTCCAAAGTCCTCAGTGTATAATTGTATCATACATATGCAAGACTTCCTGGCCCCTACTTGAAGGAACTATTCTCTTTCTGTGGCCAAAGTTCAAACTGCCTTACATTTTTGATATACACACTTTAAAGGCATCTCACCTACTATCTAGCTTAACAAGGGCTCTGTATTTTTTCAAGAAAACAAGGAGATGTCGTGTTACACTGCTGGAAAAGACCAAAGTGGCATCACCAATAGGGCCTGGCACCCACTGCCCACGATCTCTGGCCTTTTAGGCTAACAGCAACATACAGTACTTTTTAAAAACTGGACTCTGAGTAGCTGGGGAGACAGCTCAGCGGCATAAGCACCTGCCTGGCAAGCACAAGGTCCTGAGTTCAATCCCTGGTACTGCCAAAAATAAAAATAAAATAAAATAAAAAGAGTAAAAACTGGGCTCTGGGACTTAGTACAGTTCTAAAAAATGGGACAAATGGAATGTCTTTCTAGAACAGAAAGAGGCAAAATAAATATGTGGTCATGTTTTTCTGATTGATGTAATGGCCAATTTGGTGCGCCTACATCACTAGTCCTACCTCTTTTTGTCTTCCTCTTTCAGGCCAACATTCACTTGAGTGCAGGATTCTGGTTTGTTTAGATATTCTCTTTTATTTCATGGCAATCATTTCTTACATGATGTTCATAATTAAGTCTTTAAAACACCAAAAAAAAGATTGTAAAGGCCTATACAGTCCAATAAATCCAATTACGCTACCTTAATGACAAAATTTGTACCTTGTAGTTTTGACTGTATTGCTCTTATCTCTTCAGTTTGCTTTTCATTGATCAAACGAAGATTCTGATTCTCCAATTCTAGCTAAAAGGACACAGAGATATTCTTTTACATAGGGATAACATTCTAAAATGTATAATAAATTATGTTACAAAATGTTAATGGTATTATTCTATATGCAAGTAAAATATTAAAAATGACAAGAACATAGATGAATTTATCGGTATAGGCTACGAACTTAAATAGTCATGGCATCAATACCTACTTTTCTAGAACTGAGAATTTTAAATGTTTTCACCCTATGAATTTTTTTAAATGTAAAAGTATTTTTTTTTAATTTTCTTAAATTTTTTTTCAAAGTTTTATTGATAAACAGATAGCAATGAGACAGTTTCAAATCAAATCGGAAGTACAGTTTCAACAAATAATACACTGCATATATTCTTCTTAGTGGTTAATTGCTGTACAAGATGCGGACTTGTGATCCTATTTACAAACATCATTAGAACAAATCATTCTATTCATTAAGAGAATGTAAGTATATATCTATCCCAACCTCTTTGAATACACAGATACAAAATGGACATTCATCTGTATGCCCCATTTTTTCTAAGTTCCGTTATTGAATATTATAGGTGTGTAAACTTAGCAAAATATTCTAAAAGAGTCCAGTAGCCCATAATAGCGTTGGGTCTTCTGTTTAACTGGCAATGTCAGAAATTATTGACCTGAGTCCCCCACAGCTCAACATAACAGCATGGCTTTATTTCTTATAATTTCGTCTTCATACTTTTCTGCTGGATGGTTAAGACCAAGGTAAAGCAGGACCTATGCAACAAGAGTTGTAGCTTTTTGGTCTGAGAAGGTCAGTGAAATGCCCTCAGGATTTGTCCTGAGATCCTGTACCTCAGATTGTAGAACCTTTATCAGTGCAGCCATGTGGATGAGTCACGGCCATTGCTTGGCCATGTAAAAGTATTTTTAACCAAAGTTTTTCAGCATTTAATCTTTGCTTCTAAAATACTGAGCACAATAATTTTATGATATACACATATATGAACTATGATTATTTAAAATTACCTAATTAGAACTAAAATTAACTAACTGGAAGCTTTTTTTTTTTTTTTTTTTTTTGGCAGAACCAGGTATTGAACTTGGGCCCTTAAGCTTGCCAGGAAAGCACTTACTCCACTGAGCTGTCTCCCCAGCCCCTAAAATTAACCAGTTAGAGTGAGACTACTTACACTGATCATTATGAGTCTATCAGTTTTTATTTTAGAAATGCAATGAGTATTAAAACAAAAGCTACCTATCTCAAGTTTACCAAAAGACAGCACCACCACACATCAATCAGAATTTTTTGTTTCACTTGGCATTATCATATATTTTGATGACATATCTGTTCAAAAGAAATAAAAAATAAAGACAAGCAAAAATACATAAGAAATAAATACCTCATTTAGTTTTACCGTTACCCATTCCTTGATTTTAGCTGCCTTCTCTTCTATTATTTTAGCTTCTTGTATTCTTATTTGCTTCTGAAACAACATTAGCAGTTTGTTTAGTTCAAACATTAGCTCAGTGATCTGGAAATTTTATATTCTAAATATGCAAAGTAAATCTACTTAAAACCTGTTTCTAAATTAACACATCTGCTTCCAGATTACAAAAGATTTTTTTTAACTCAGGAGTATTTCTTTTATTCAGGAATATTTTACAAAACAGATTTTTAATAGGGAAAAATTATCGAGAAGAGACAAGAAGAAACCAAAAAGGTGTATACAAGTATCAGTAGTGGATCAACTTCTCTTTCTCTGGATAATTGTATACCGAAATCAAATACTAGCTACATCAACAAACCAATTCTAAAGCAGATTAGGGTCAGCCCTATAAGGGAGAGAACAGGAGTTCCTCAGGAATGTGACTATTTTCTCTCTCAAACAGTTTTTATTTTTTTAATATTTGTTTATTTATTTTTACGGTACCGGGGATTGAATTCAGGACCCTGCACTTATACCACTGAGCTCTCTCACCATCCCCCCAACAGCAGCTCCTAAAAGCCTAGAAAAATCAGTACTGACAAACTCCAGCTCTGTTTACCAACCTTAAAATCTGGTCATGGTCACGGGGACTTTTTTAAAAAAATGAACAATGTGGGGCTGGGAATGTGGCTTGCATGCAAAAGGCCCGAGGTTCAGTGCTCAGCACCATAAAAGAAAAAAAAAAAAAAAGAACAATGTGTATTTAGCAAAATTTCAGAGTCCTCATATTGAAATGATGTTAGCTACCTAAGTAAAGAACCATAATGCAATTTTTCTGAGACAGGGTCTCACTGTGCAGTTCGGTCTGGCCTTGTGTTCACTTTTGTAGCACCCAGGCTGGTCTTGAACTCAAAGAGATCCTCCTGTCTCAACCTCCCAAGCACTGGGATTACAGGCATGTGCCACCACTCCCAGTCCTGGGGCCACACGGTGGGTGCCCAGGGATCCAGGGCTCATACCGCATGGCATGAGGGGCTGGAATTCGAACTCAGGTCCTTCTGCTTGCCAGGTAGGTGCTTATGCCTCTGAGCTATCTCCCCAGCCCCAATAATGCAATTTTTATAATAAAATTTAAAATTAAATATTCTACTGGATCTCACTAGTATAAAATAATGCACACAATCTAAGCAGAAAGATTTGTATCAAACATAAATATGCTATCAACATCTCCAATATAAAGCAAAGATTTGTTGCAAACATTTTACAGACCCTGATGTGTGTGGATGAACTGAATGCTTCCCATGTAAACATTACATTTAAATTCTAACACTGACTGAGCCGCCGACCGCACCGTGTACCAGCAGTGTATAACAGCAGGCACTGGCCTTCTTCTCACACAGTAGCCAGGAGTGGCCACGTGGCCCAGGAGACAGAGATGGCACTGGGAAGGACGATGCTCAGGCCGCGGGGACAGGAGAGGGGGCCCAGGGACCGCATCTGGTGTACAGCAGGGTAGAGGCTGCCTGACGATGACTCTCAAGTAGCTCCAGGGATGAGAAGGACAGTGACAGCTACTCTCGCCGTTATTGTAAGGAGTGAGTGGGTGAATATACGTGAAAACGTCATGCAGGTGCCTGGCCACAACAGAACTCTTAGCCATTACGGTCACCTACATTGTAATTGAAAAATCTATTTTACAGCTGTTTTGACTTTTAACTTTCATAGGGTGAAATAAAAGAGATACTTGCAAAAATTAATTAATTTTGAAGTTTAAATTTCTTCTCTTTTTTTTTTTCGGAAGCAGGGATTGAACTCAGGCCCTTGCGTTTGCCAGGCAAACACTTCTTCTACTGAGCTATCTCTCCAGCCCCTTTAAGTTTAAATGTGAAGAAGCAGTGTCACATTACACTGCCTGGAACCGCCTGAGACTTAACCCAAATGTGGTCCTACACCGCCCTCTCACCAAGGCCTGTGACAAGGAGGCCCAAGGAGCTGACTGGGTAAGTGGGTTTCTCCTCCAGATCTAGGAATCCAGGCTTTCTCTTTTCATTCTTTGTGTTTTTGGAAAACTGGGTGCACACATTTGGAAGACTTTTATGGTTAAATTTTTCCTAACCTGCTCTTCAAGTTGTAGTTCCAAGTTCTGAATGACGTCATCTTTTTCCTGTATTAGAGATTCCAGATCTTGACACTTTTTATATAGCCTTGTTTCTGATTCACTGGTTTGAATGTTAGCAGCTTTTAATTTTTCTTCCATAACTTGAACCTAAATTCAGAGGATAAAATTATTAAAATTGTACCTATACTTATATTAAGCTCAGAATTTTATTCCTAAAAGGTATTATCATAAAAGGAAAAAAAATCAAAAAAAAGGGGCTGGGGAGATGGCTCAGAAGAATAAGCGCTTCCCTGGCAAGTGCAAGGGTCTGAGTTCAATCCCTGGTTCCACCAAAAAAAAAAAAAAAAAAAATCATAAAAAGAAAATGTTGACAATGTGTTTAATAATTATAAAGTCTGAAGACATTTTGCCAGATAGTACTAATTTTGAGGCACATAAACATAAGAGTGAAATAACATATTTGCCAGAGCAGCAATTATATGTAGTATTTATATAGAAACAGAAAGTTCGTAGCCATCATCATTCTCATATTTTAAACAAGGTTGTGAGTGATATGAAATCAGAAAGTGAAGGGTGAGACAAGATTCAAACCATACAGGCTGCAGAGAGAGCTCAGCAGTCCAAACACCTGCCTAGGCAAGCGCAAGGCCCGGGGTTTGACTCCCCTGCACCGCAGGCTGTGCCAAGCTGGCCACCAAACCAGGCATTGTGGTACGTGCCTGTGGTACGTGCCTTTTCAGCTGGGGAGGCTGAAACAGGAGGATCACTGTATGAGCTGCATAGTGAGACCCTGTACCAAATACATAAAATTTTTAAAAAATTCAAATCATATGACTTGGTATAATAATACATTTGGAGAAAAAATTGAATTTGGATGAAAAAATATGTAGTCAGAAAGAAAAAGAAACTTAAAGCCTTAAATGACAGAATCATTAAAACAAAATGAGCCTAGATTTAGCTAGAATGCATTCAATGAGGGCTAATTAAGTCTTTCACCTAATAAATATTCACTGAATTCTTGCTAAGTGCCAAGACTCTTCCACATCCTGGATCCAAAATCTGTCTGTATAGAAGTTATATTCTAGGGCTGGGGAGAGAGCTCAGTGGTCTAAGCGCCAGCCTGGCAAGCACAAGGACCCAAGTTCAATTCCTAGTACCGCATGCCAAGCCAGGCCTGTGCTGGCCCCGAAGCCAGGTATGTTGGCACAAGCCTGTAATCCCAGCGCTGGGGAGGCTGAGACAGGAGGATCACTGTAAATCTGAACTGCATAGCAAGACCCTGTATCCAATAAATAAAGTAAAATACAATAAAAATTTTTTAAAAGGAAGTTACATTCTAGTGGGAAACAGAGATAACAAACACAATAAACATGTACGCATCATGCTGTGTATTACACAATTTGTAAGAACAATGGGAAGGTGGCTGAATGCTGTCCAAGGTAGACTGGCTCTCTCTGAATCTTCCACCACTTTCAGGCACATGAAATCTTAGAAGGGTATAGCTATAAACTATGTCTGCTGGCCTACATTGATTACTTAAGTGTATTCGACTCAGAGTGAAGTTTAGATTTTACTGTCACCACCTTTGTACCATTCTGTGTATCACAATCTTATCCTGGATTGTAAATATTCTAGAATAGAAATAATTCTTATCAGCCCTTCATTTATGGTATCCTTATATTCAGAGCAAGCGACCCTACCAACATTGAACTGCCCATAAAACTGTCCTATGTTACTTAAAAAGGATCTACAGTCCTGGAAAACTATGATTTGGAACTATACTACTCTGAAAAAAATGTTCAACTTAAAAGCAATTCTTATTTTACGAATGATTACTACAAAGCTCCTCAGATGTATCTTCCCATCTGAAAATTTAAATCTTACTACTACTTTTAGATAAACAACTTTTCTTTCTCTTTTTTTTTTTTTTTTTTTTTTTTTTTTTGCGGAACTAGGGATTGAACTCAGGCCTTTGCGCTTGCTAAGGAAGTGCTTATTCTATTGAGCGATCTCCCAAGCCCTAGATAAACAACTTTTCTGGGCAAGAAAAATATTGGCAAGTGTGCAAAAACTTAGAAAAAGTGATCACAAAGTTGTGACAGGTGACCTACTTACCAACTACTTCTGTTATGGCCAAGTGTCAGAGGACTCACCAGCTTTCCTTGGTTAATAGTACAAATAGGAGGAATACAGAAAAAGCTAAGAGGCTTACAGAAAAGAAAAACAAGTAGCCTTTAAAAATAGCCCACCACAAGCACACAGAAAAAGAAAGAAAGAAAGAAAGAAAGAAAGAAAGAAAGAAAGAAAGAAAGAAAGAAAGAAAGAAAGAGCACACAGAAAAAATAGCCTAATTCTTTTTCCATTCATTTAGTGTGTGACCCATACGAAGTGTATGGGTCACACACTAACCTACTAACCAGTAGCTAACCTACTCAGAGACTGACCAATAATAAACACCTATGAATTCAAATTAGTTTAAACAAACTCCTGCGATTATCCCCACACAGATACCCTGCAGTGTGGAGCATATCGTGCTCTTAGGCTGCTGCTTTTCTCTTTCACTTCTCGGGGAATCTCTGTGTGCACCCACTGAGCACACTCCTCAGCCATTTCCTCCAAAGCTTCGTGATCCTGAGGTCCCTGAATCCTTGGTCACTAAATGGTTTACACAGCAGACTTTAGAAGCTCAGATCCTGCACATTCTAAAGAAAAGACTGACCCTCAGTGGACTCAAGAGGCAACTCTGAGCCCTCAGAATATCTTGACTGACAATACTACCTTTTGCATACCTGAAGTCATCAGAAAACGTGCATGACAGTGAATGCCTATTTTCATTGACACAGAGTGCTGGTCTACACTGTAGTCAACAGTTCTACATGACTGACATCCAGTGAAAATCCTGGACCCTGAAGCTCAGACAATCTTCTGCATTTGTCAGTGCTCCATATCATACAGCCTGATGAGAGGATTAAGTGCATCCTTGTGCAACTCTACTTCAAAAGAGCAAATGGAAACAAGTACCTGGTTTCCTCTGGACCTTTTTCTTTTGTTGATTTTAATCTGTATCTCTTCACTGTAATAAACCATAATGAGGGACCAGCTTCTCTGGGTCCTATGAATCTTTCTAACAAATCATTAAATTTGAGAGTAGTTTTGGAACCCTCAACACGGTTTCCAGGACTGTCTCCCATTAACCCATCCCTCCTGGAAAAGCAAGAGCTGCAAATATTACTTGCAGGTAATTATATCTGTTGCTATATTCTTCTTCCCATTGCTCACCTCCTCCCTCCCTCTTCCACTGTAAGTAACAAAGGGGTAAATGCACTTTCTTTTTTGGGTGGTACTGGGGGTCACACCCAGGATCTCACAAACACCAGGCAAGCACTGAGCTATGCCCCAAGCCCTTGTGACTGTAGTTTTAAGTAAGGAGAGCCGGTAGCTATTTATAAGTAACTCCAGTGCTGTAGTAAGGGGTCCTGGCTATTCTCAAAGAAAATGAAGAAGGAATTGTTAAGAGTACTGTATTTTGAATCCCAGACTATTTTTCACTTACTTAAGATGTACTGCAAGAAAATAAAAAAGAAAAAAAAGATGTACTACAATTTAATTAACCATTCTAATCACATTTTATTTATTTTTTAAAATTTTTTTAAAATTTTATTTATGTGTGTGTGTGTGGCCAGCTCAGCCCACCAGGGGGCGGGGCTGGCTGGCATGTGGTGCTGGGGGATATGAACCGCGGTCCCTGTGCTTTTCTAAGCTTGTTCTAAGTAGGTGCTTTAGACCACTGAGCCATCTCACCAGCCCAACGTTTTAAATATAATTACTTTGGTGTTGTTGCAGGTGAAAAGTAAAAACAGTAAAAGAATTTGTTTTCTACATAATGAAGAGTTGATGTCACACAGCAAAGCAATAGAAGGTCCTGGAAGTAAGGATGATAGAGAAGTTAAGAATTTATTAAGGACCAAAAATGGCTTCAATACAGAAATAACTTTACCAAAAGGCAGACAAATCCACACAATAGAACAGGCAGAGGGAACTTTCAATCCAGCTCCTCCCAACCCTGAATCAAACACAGGCAAGGGTGACCCCAAAGGACAGAATGAAAACACACACTCCTACCTGGGAAGTTAGGGTAGTATTTGGGGCTATTTATACACAAGGTAATGCACCTGATGGTGTACTTGATAATGAGTCCTGCATGTCAGTACTTCTCAAAGATCTGTTTCCTATTTTTCTACCTCACAAGAGTACTTACAAGTAGTACACAGTTAATTGGTACATACTGCTTTCAAAACCTGCAAGCAACAATGAAAATGCTTTGGTATTAAATAAAAAGATCACCAAGACTTATTCTTTTCTGTAGAAAACTTACTTGCTTAGTTAGTGGTTATGGAGGTGATACCACTCAATAAACAGAGAATCGATAAAGCTGACATATAGAGTTGAGCTGGTTCCTGCTTTTAGTGGAGTAACATTCCCTTTCGGCTAATAGAAGTATAAATAGTTTTAAGTCTTACGACATCGTTCAACAAGAGAAGACAAGCTGAAGTAACAGACATCAGAGAGCCCACAAACCCATGGAAACTGTTAAAGACAGCAAGGGATTCAGTTACTGTAATTTACATGAAGATTGAAAAAGGTGAAATAATCAATGAATGGGAGTCCCTCTTCTCTCTGTATATATCTCTTGTTAACTGTTAGATCCATTATGAGGTATTTACAGAAAAAAAAATTTCTGAGGTATAAAAAAGTTCTGATGACGATGATGATGACGATGACGATGACGATGACGATGATGATGATGTATTCAGTGCAGGATCTACAGGGTCTCCCTACACAGATCGGACTTGTAGTGATCCTCCTGTTTTCAGCCTCCCAAGTGCTGGGATTACAGGTGCAAGCCGCCACATCCAGTCTCAATTGCCATCTCAGTGTGCCCAGGGGTGGGGCTGGCCCGGGAGGCTTGGGGATCAAACTCCCAGCCCCTGCGCCTGCTTGCAGGCACTTTAATCCGCTGAGTGATTTGGCTGGCCCTCTAAGCAGGTGGTTTAATCCACCTGGCTAGCCTGGTAACACTTATTTTTAATGGAACTATAAACATGGCTGTGACGTAGCTCATTTATTTCTCTGTATCATGGCATTCACACTATTTCCCACTATTATAAATTAATCTGTTATAAATATATTAATATATGAAATTTCATGTTAGAATAACACTAAAGTCATTTGATTTTTTTCAGACGATAGAAAATTGAAGCCTTTTTTTCCTCCTAAAAATGTGCTAGTGGACAAAATAAGAGTCTCTGCTCTCAAGATAAAACTTAAGAATAGTTAAAGTGATACAATGTAAAGAAGGGCTGACAAAAATCCTCCTATTTTATCAAAACAATATTTACATAGGTAGAGACATAAAAAAATTAACTAAAATTATACTCTACCTGTTGAAAAGCTTTTTCTGCTTGACGTTCGGCATCAATAACTTGTCTCTCAAGCTGCTGCATCTGAAGGAAAATATAAAAATGATACAGAAATTCATATTTCCCTTTTGGAAAAATACTTTTTAATCTTCCAATGTTGTCAGCTCTTACAAAATATTTAATGTGATTTGCTGGAAATGAGCTACATACAATGAACACATTAAAGGAACAACCTGAGGGTGAGGTGGTGTACATGTGTAATCCCCGCTTTCAGGAGGCTGAGGCAGAAGAACACCGAGGCTGAGGCCAACCTGGGCTACGTAGTGAGCTCAAGAACAGCCTCAACTACATAGAAAAACCCTGTCTCAAAAATCAAACAGGTGGGCCAGGGAGATAGCTCAATGGAATAAGCGCTTCCCGGGCAAGCACAAGGGCCTGAGTTCAATCCCTGGTTCCGGAAAAAAAAAATCAAAGAAATAAGCACTGATAAAATGAAAATGCCAAAGTTTTGGTATTTTTAAAACAATGAAATATTTACCATAGGAGTATTCATTCACAGACTAGAAATTACATGTCAACACATACTAAGAACAGTACATTTAAGAGAAAAGACTTCCAGCTTCATACTTGATGCCTTGATCAAAAACCACAAAGAGCAGGAGGTAGTGGTGCACACCTGTAATCCCTGCCCTCTTAAGGCTCAGGCAGGACGAGGGCTGTCAGTTACCCACCAGCCTGGGCCACGTGGTGAGTGCCCAGCTAGCCTGGTCTGTGTGCAGCGAGACCATGTCTCAAAAACCAAACATGCTTAAGAGCCATTCTATGTTTTTTGTTTCTGTGTGTGCAAATAAAATACTGATGTAAACGGTTATTTTGTTTTTAAACATTCACCAAAACAAAAACTATGGGTGCTAAGCTCATGTTTGAGATGGCATCATCCTGAGAAACAAGTCACTTCCGGTTAAACAGAAAATTCTCCTAAAACTGTAATCTTTAATGTAATCTTTAAGTTAAACAAATGATTCTGTAACTGCACAGTGAAAAGTGGGTATTTTCAAACCAGCCATATCAGAATCCATATCTATATCTTTAGTCACAAAAATATAGCAGTTTACTTGCAAAATTCCCGAAAAGAAATATTCTTATCTCTACCTACAACTTCCCCTCCCCAAACATGGTAGCGATAGCAAGTCAAAACCTAGTTTGATGAATTTGCTAAGGAAGACTTACTAAGGGAACACTGAAGAGTTGAAATCTGTAGAAAATCAAAAGTCAGGATTCATTGATGTCTTAAGACTTGGCTCGCAGAAACCTATTGAGCAGCTAGAAAATCAATAAGTGGACAAACTTGTAATCTAAAACTAATGATCTGCATATTTTTCTTGACCCTAATTTGTTTCCAGTCTTTTCAGTATTTGGGTTACTGTTCTCAGTGGAAGCCAAAAAACAACTTAGTAGTAGTCAGAATGTTAGCCTAATTTATGTTGTTTACTTTATTGTAAATAATGATGAGCAGTGGTCAACAAATAGTTTTGTATTCCTTTAAAAAAAAAAAAAGTCGCAATGACACTGTCATTGAAGTTTTTATAAACTCCACAGATGAAATGTTTCAGTGAATGCTACGGATTATTACATTCATATTGATATGAAAAGAGTAACAGAAGAGACTCTTTTTAACACATACACTTACAGACACACAAATACCAAAGTGAATATTAAGTAAAAATGTTAAAGCCATTAAAGGACTCAATGCTAATTAACATAAAGAATGTGTACCAAATGTTGAATACACAAGCCAAGAAGTAAAATTCAGCTTCAACTCTCTTTTCTCAGTGAGTTCTGGCCAGTCTTGCAGCCATCTGTGACGAGATCCGTGCTCCTTCTCCCTCCCGCGGACTGGCAGTCGGTGGCGCCCAGAGCTTCCAGGACACCTCCAGCCCCGCCCCGCCCCCGCTGGCCCCGCCCCCTCGCTGGCCCCGCCCCGCCCACCACCACCGAGAAGCCGCCCCCCGCGGCTAGAGCGGCCTAGCGCGGCCGGGGGCGCTCCGGTTGCCCGGGTTTCCCTAGTGCCGCGCGCCTCGCTGTCGTCTGAAAAATGGTTTCTGCTCGTAGGGCATCTTTTCTTAAAGGTATGTTGATTGGGAGCATTTCCTGGGCTCTGGTAACTACGTTTAGCCGAATCCATATTCGACTCGGAAGTCCAACTCGAGACCACCGACACCATCACCTTCGACCTCCTAGCGGAAGAGAGTTCAATATTTCACAAGGGACACGTGCGGAACTCAGCAAAAGTATACGCGTTTTTTGTATCATCCTCAGAGAGCCCGAATATGAGAGTTCCTGGACTATGCTAAGAGAGACTTGGCCCAAACACTGTGACCAAGCAGAGGTCTACGGTGCTCAGAGCGATCGCTCGTTCGGTATAAAAAGAAATGGCCAGTGGGAGCACCTCAGGGAAACTTACAACGATGCCTTTGAAAAGTACGGCCACAACTTCACGTGGTTCTTTCTCGCACTTCCCACCACATTTGCTGTCATTGAAAACTTAAAGTACTTTCTGCTGACAAAGGACGCATCACAGCCTTTCTACCTGGGCCACACCATTATGTCGGGAGACCTTGAATATGTGGCTGTGGAAGGAGGAATTGTCTTGAGTGTAGAGGCGCTGAGGAGGTTTCACAGGCTTCTCAATAAGCACGAAATGTGTGCAAATCGGAGTGTGATTTGGAACTTCTCTTTCGACAAGCAGCTGGCAGTCTGCCTGAAATATGCCGGTGTTTTCGCAGAAAATGCAGAGGATTACGAGGGGAGAGATGTATTTAATACAAAACCAATTGCCGATCTTATTCAAGAGGCAATGAGTAGTAACTCTCAGCCAATAGTCAAAGGCTGCTGTTCTGATATAGCTATTACTTTTAATGGACTGACTCCCCAAAAGATGGAAGTGATGATGTATGGCGTCTACCGGCTCAGGGCATTTGGACATCATTTCAGTGACACACTGGTTTTCTTGCCTCCAAATGGTTCAGAAAATGACTGAGGGATGGCAAATGTAGGACAGTGTTCTTGAAGGCCACCTGAAATGTGACTAGTCCAAATTAATGTGATGTAAATACAAAATGCACACTTCATTCAATAATACGTAATTACTAAGAGCCTACTTAGTAGGAAAGTGTAAAAAATCTGAAGTCAGGTGTAATTTTTATATTGACTCCATCTGCAATATTTTTGATAGGTTGCATCAACTATTAAAATTAATCTGTTTCTTTTTCATTTTACTCATATGACCATTAGCAAAAGTCAAATTACATAGGGAGCTCTTACACTATATTTCTATTGGATAATAAAGATTTGTTGTTACTTATAGCAATTTAACTGTAAAATGACAGTACTTTTTAATAGACAATATATTGTGGGGATCTGGATTCTGGAAGAAGTTTGAATAGTTCTATTCTGGCTTGAGCAACTTAGATCCTGTTTCAAAATTTAAAACAAAAATTATTATTATTATTTTTTTTGTAAAGAGGCTGAGGATGTAGCTCAGTGTAAAAGCACTGGGATCAATTTCTAATATTAAAAGAGAGAAGGACAGGGGGGATATTTCTTAAGCATTCTCTGCACCTTATATCATTTATTTTTGTAAAATACTTATAGTGTTTAATAAACAGTATTACTTAAAAGCATTTTAAGTCATTAGGCTGGGCACTATACAGGAGCAGTTGGACAAGCACTGTATCCCTCGGATGTCTCTGGGATATTCTTTAAACCAAAAGGCCTACTACTGTACTAGCAGGTGCCTGCCATGGCCACATTCTTCCACGACTGGCAATATGCTGGCCATTGTCACCTTTACACTGTTAACTACATTCTGTTTTCAGAAGAATTTTGTAATTCTGGAGTCTAAAACCACTTTTGGGTTAGGTTTGCCAGTAGAAACAGAAAAGTCAACAAAATTTTATCAAATTTTGTTAGTGGAAAAAAACAAGTTTGTTTCTTTTTTTAAAAACAAAACCCTGCATATATCTTGTCTGATTTCTCCTTCTGAATATTTGGTTTCTAACCATAACAGGAAGGATGGAAGTCTGATTTACTGTTATATACCCAATAAGGTATCCTTATACATAGTAGGCACTCCATACATCAAACTATTAATAAATGACAAAGCTCCCTGCCATCTGTAAAGCACCATGTATATATGACCAGTACCATTATTTTTACCACTGCCAAATAACTTTATTTCTGATCCTTTAGCACTTCTTTAAAAACTATTTTTCCAATGATATTGTAAGTTTCTGGAAGGAATCATGTTTGGAATATCTTGCGCATACCAGTCACTCAATAAAATTCTAAAAACTGCCAGCTATAATGGCCCAAACCTGTAATCTCAGCTGTTTAGGAACCTGACTGCAAATTCAAGGCAACCTAGTGAAACCCAGTCTCAAAATAAAATATTGAAGAAGGGTCAAGGAATGTAACTCAGAGGTGTAGTCCATGAAAGTCCTGGGGCGGAGCCCCAGAACCATTTAAGAAAAGAAAAAGAAAAAACTTCTACAATTCTGGCTATTCCACTTTTCTGCTTCCTGACCACTGTTAGGGTTTGTGTCTAGCTGTCCCCCCAAAGCCTTATGCAGTTATGGGGCAGCTTCTGTGGAGTTTGTGATTGATTCGTGGTCCTGTGCTGCGATTGCAGGTGTGAGTGCTACACCTTGGCCCGGGATGGGTAATCTGCATTACAAAAAAAATCTGAATAATAGGTCACTGATGACTGCACTGATCAGTGACCTTATTATTTCTATTACTAAAAAAAAACAACAACCCCCCCACAGCATTTCTACAAATAGGACCGTAATAAACAAGGTTATAAGCAGGATAAATTTGTTGCTGGGCATGAAAGTTATGTTTTTGGCTTAAATTTTAGGTGTCTCCCCCAAAGATTTAAGTGTTCAAAAGACAGCAAGAGTACTATGCACATTAGTGCTTGCTTTTAGGAAGTGGGGTCTGGTAAGAAGAGATGGGTTACTGGGGATATAATACTGAAGGATATAACTTCTTCCCTGGCTCTTCCATTTTTCTGCTTCCTGACCACTGTTACAGTTTGTGTCTAGCTGTCCCCCCAAAGTCTTATATAGTCCAGGGCAGCTTCTGGAGTTTGTGATTGATTCTTGGTCCAGTGCTGGGATTGCAGGTATGAGTGTGACACCTTAGCCCAGGGGTGGGTAATCTGAATTACAATGTAAGAAGGGGAAAGAGCCTAGCTAGCTGAGGGAGCTGCTGCCCCTCCCTTTGCTCTTTGCAGCAGCCTTGAACGGCTGCTCTGTTCCATGTGTGCCTTGGAGCCAGCCGAGTATGGACTGAAACCTCCACAAACTGTGAGCTCCTTTCTCCTTCAGTGCCTGAGTCAGGCCGGGCTGTGGGTGATTGCTGACTTCTTGCTCAGGCATCTTTGGTGTCCAAGCTTTTGGGAAGCACAATATGTAAATAAACATCCAAATTTTTGATTAAAAAAATAAATAAGCCTTTCCTTCCTTAATTCTGGGTGTTGGGTATTTTGTCCCAGCAATAAGAGAATAACTCAGATAACCACCATGAACTGAGCAGCTTCCCTCTGCCAGAATTTGCACCATACCATTTCTGCCTTGCAGCCACCTGACCAGACACTAACCGTGAGACAAAATAAACCTCTCCAGCTTGAAGTTGTGTCAGCTATAATGTTACAGTGATGAGAATGTGACTAAGACTGACTTTGGTACCAGTGAGGTGGGGCTGTTGCTGTGATTTCTGACCATATGGTTCAGAAGCCCTTGGAGGTGTGTTTTGAGGGGGTCTGGAAAGGTTTGGAGATGACTGAGAGAAGCTCTAAAATGCTGTAAGCTGAGCTTCATGTGAGATTCTGGCCAGAGCTCAGAACACCAGAATGGATAAGCATTCAGTAAAGACCATATGTTATATACAGACAGTATTTAATGCAGACAGTCAAGACCAGGCTCAAGAGGTTTCAGCTGGGAAAGTAGCCCATTGGTGGCTGGACTCAAAGCTGTATGTATTGTGTTCTGGCAGAAAACCTGTCTATATGTTGCCTGTGTCCTGAGTTTTTAATGGGAGATTTAGATTAAGGCAGTGGACTCATTAATCTGGGAGACAAAATTTTAAGGCTACCACATTAGGCTGTGGCAAAGAAAATCTGACTAATTTCAGCCAGGTTTATAGTGAAAATATACAGTAAAAATAGCCTTAACATTTTGTCTGCCAGATTAATTAGTCTATCACCTTAATCTCAATCTGCCATATGAGCAAGGCCACACAACCCCTTTGGAGTTCATGTCTTGCCACAACTTGCCATACTTTCTAGACAAAAACCACAGGATGCAATGTCTGTTCTGCTATGTTTTGGTCTTGCTTTGGTTTTTTGGTTTTTTTGTTTTGTTTTTTTTCTTTCTGTCCTTCATATATACCTTTTGGAATGGGAATGTTTAGGGCCACTGTTTATTAGAAGTGTTTAACTTTCTTTTTTTTTTTTACTTTTTAAGAAATGTACTCATGGCTAAGAATTTGCCTTGATTCTCACAGGAGACTTTAGACTTGGACTTTTTAGGAATGATGGGACTACTGAAAATCTGGTGATTCTTATAGATGGAATAAATGCATTTTTCATAAGGAGATGTACATGAGTCCTTTGGGGCCAGGGGTAGAATGTTATGGTTTAGATCTGGGGTGTCCCCCAAAAGCCTTTCAAAACACTTTCAAGTATCTAATAAATGTTCAATTGACATTATATAGGAAAATTCAATGAAACATATTTCTACTACTTGCATGTATTACTTTATAGATAACTTCAACTTAGGAAAATTTAGTTTAAAATGAACACAGATTGCAGAGACCTAGGTTTTAGTTCCTACTCTACTGTTTACTACTGGTTTCTAAGATTTTTATATATAAAATGAGAATAATATAAACTTTGCTCTAACTACCATATATGCATAATATTATAAGGCCAAAATTTTGAAAAATACATAAAAGTAATGAAAAATTTACTTGTATTTCATTAGCTAAAAATACAGTGGTACCATTTATAGTGTTATAATTTTCATAGTAAAAATGAGCCACAGAATTGGAGGGATAGAATACTTGTGTAGCGTGAACAGGGCTCTGGGTTCGATTCCCACCACAGGAAAAAAAGAAGTCTCACAGATCTAAGAATGAGGCTTTCAAGATAATAGCATATCCATGCAAGTAGAGACCATTACTAATGTGCACAGCTGGGTGTAACATATTTAGAATTTGCTTCAATATAACATGGGAAAGGAGAAGTGGATCAGCATACAGATTAAAGAGGATTAGTCCTGAGCTGATAACCATTAAAGCTGTATAATGCACAGCCAAGAGTTCATTATAATATAGATTTGAAAATCTCTCCAATAAAAAATTTAAATACATAAGAAAAGACAAAAAGACACATTTAAAAGAAATTTCAAATTATATATGAAATGATAACCTATGCAAAATATATATTGGTAGGAAAAGACTTCGAAGCAGTAATGAATGTTTTAGTCTGACTTTTTGCAAAAATGTATGTCTGTTTTCATGGGATGACGGATACCAAGGAGTTGTCTATATCTAGGTGGTAGGATTATGGGTAAAATAATTTATTTTTTTATGATAAGAAATTAGGGGAAATTTTATGTCATTGAAGAAAGAAAAAATAATGGAGGAAAAGATAAAGCTATAGAAGCTTATATTAGAAATTGTCAATTGTCAATCAAAATTAATTCTGCTCGGGCTGGTGAGATGGCTCAGTGGGCTAAAGCACCTACTTAGAACAAGCTTAGCAAAGCCCAGGGACCACGGTTCAATCCCCCAGCACCACATGCCAGCCAGCCCCGCCCCCTGGCGGGCTGAGCTGGCCACACACACACACACACACACACACACACAAATAAATAAAAAATAAAAAAAAATTCTGCTCATTCTGGAAAATTAATTTAAAAATTTAGAGGAAGATTCTACAATACCTTGTAGAATTAGGATATACATAAATATAAAAAGAAAAAGACTCAATGCTGAAGTAGCGTCTAATTAGATGACAAATGGGATGATGCCACTGATAATTAAGAAGTCACCTTTCTGAGAACAGCGGCAGCAGGGTGAAGCAAAGGCACACAAAGAAATTCAAGAGTCCTGGCAGACTAAAGAAACTAGGAAGAGGGGGCCCAGCCCTAGCTCAGTTCTTTAAGTGGCTGCTTCCACAATGCTGGCAGCCTCAGTTTGCTGTAGTTCGATCCCCACAACACTCCAGCCATGCAAAAGTGCCCTGA